AATGAATATAATTCGTGTAGAATGTTTGTAGCGATGGTGCGATTATGTTTTATTAATTTATACAGAATGTCGGGATTTTTTACACATACTGATAAAATGGTCGAACTTCATGTTTTTTCTTTTAGATACCGGAACATTTAGATTTCAACAACTGGGAGACTTTTAGCAAGGAAGATTTACGTAAACTTATAGTTAAGGTTGGTTTCTTTTATTTTTTCTGCAACCATGGCGCTTGTGAAAAGCCATATGTAGACTCTTTATGAGTGATATTAATTTCAAGTTATTCAGATTAAATTATTGACTTAATAATATTGTGCTTGAAATCTTTAAATTAGGTCTTCAGAATATAATAAAACAAAAGTCCGTGCGGGCTTTTCGATCGTTTAATTTCTTTGTGTGTGATTAAATTGTTGTTACCAGTTCAAGATTATATGGATGTATTGGAAAATTTTCTGGTTATCGGTTTTTTTTTTTACTTCACAGAATTTCCCTTTTTTATTGAAAGATGGTATTACTGTAGACAGTGGCCGATATGGATGAATTGGAACGGCAACGAAAGGAAGATTTCAAGGAATATGAAATGAAAAAAAGAGCTGAACAAGATCACAAAATGGTATTTTTTCGGCTTTGAATTGCTTTTTCCCAAAAATGCTAAATTTTAAGGTCTACATGAGTTCTGTGTGCTAAAAAATAATTCCTTTTATTACCGATTCTCCATCGTTGCCCATCTCATACATATATAAATAAAAAATGGCTAAGCCGGGAATCATTGTATTTCCTCGTTCGTTTATGTTTTGCATCTTTTCCTTGTGTTTTTCAAACATTCTCATTTCGTATCTTGGATTTGACGTATAAAGCAGGCGCGAATGTCAGAAACAGAAAGGGCGCAGTATTTACAACAATTGGAGCAACAGCGTCAGCGACATAATAAGCACGAACGTTTAAAACATCCAGGAAGTCGCGGTCAGCTGGAGGAAGCTTGGGCAAACGAAAAAGTGAGCAGCAGTGCATTTTTTTCTCAAATTCGGTTTTTTTTTTTGGCAAAAATGGGAAAAGAGAACAAATCTAGAATTGATCTGGACAGAATGTAATTAAAAAAAAAAAA